GGGGGGCGAGGGGGCGGAGCTTGCTCTGTATGATGTCATAAGACAGGGGCTCTGCACCCCGAAACCAGCCGGAGGAGTTCGTCTTTAAAAGAACGGCTCTACGGGCGTTTGTCAGCCGACCTGTTCTGGGGCCGTCTACAATGAGAGGGTGTGGGCCCTGGAGGCCTCCACCCAGCCCGCTCCAGGCTCTGTCAGGGCTGGGGGGGGCGGGGTGGAGTGGAGTGGGGGGGGGCTGGCAGCCGGCCCAGCCGGCATACTGAACACGAGTGTGGAGGCAAACAAAGCGAGCCTGGCGGAGAGAGAGCGGGCGGGCGAGCGAGCGGGGAGGGGCGGGGCTTGGCCGGGGCTTTTATGGCGGGATATAACTCACCCCCCTGTAACCAGGGAGGCGGAGCAGAGCCGGCTGCTCTACGTGGGCACGCCGGGGCAGGAGGAGGCCGGGGAGGGGGGGGGGAGGCAGGAGGGGGGGGGGGGGGGGGGGGGACCTCCTTCCAGCTCCATGCTCTGAGAGCTGGAAGTGTCCCACCGAAGGGGAGCGCCTGACCTTTAGAGCAAAAGGCTAGCTGTCAAACACCTTTAGCCTGACGCGCCCCCCCCAGGGGTTAGTCCGTCTGGATGCAGGAAGCCAAGGATGGATGTCAGACTCCGCCCATATCCAAGGCAGCCATTTTGATTAGGTCACCAATAGGAAGATCCCAGACAAGAAAATGGTAATTGCTTCATTGCTTCATGACAATATAGACATTAGTTTAAAAATAGTTAAATGAATCTTGCAAACACTGAATTAAACTCTATCCATAATATTATGTTAAAATAGTGGTTTGTACAATAAGTCCAAACAAGTTTAACCAAAAAATATTAATTTCTCACAATTATGAAGGGGGGAGGGTTCGGGTTAAGGTTAGGGTGAGGGTGAGGGTTAGGGTCAGGTTTAGGTTTAGGTTTAGGGTTAGGGTTAAACTCTATCCATAATATCATGTTAAAATAGTGGATGTTAGGGTCAGGTTTAGGGTTAGGTTCAGTGTTAGGGTCTGGGTTAGGTTCAGTGTTAGGGTCTGGGTTAGGGTTAGGTTCAGTGTTACGGTAAGGACATCTTTTATCTTCTGATTTCGTATAGACAGTAAAGTTTCATTTCCACCTCAGAAAGCTGCAAGTCCCATGACCTAATCAAAATGGCCGAGTTGGATGTGGGAGGAGTTGGATATCCTACAGACTGCAGCCAGAGGCTGCTCCCCAGGGTCGGGGAAGGGCTCAACAAGCCCCGCCCACCACGCCGGCTGACGTCAGAGCGACCGCTCAGCTTCAAAATACCAAAAAAACAAAGATACCCACGAGGGGAAGAGGGACAGACAACAGGCACTCACCTCCTCCAGCTGTTGTCCGGCGGTGGGGACAGGTACACGGCTCCGTACGGGGAGCTCTCCATGTGGGTTAGGGTTAAGGAAGCAGAGGGCACGGACACAGAAACACCACTACAGCTCAGCTGCAGGACAAATTATTATTATTTATGATTTATCATCTATGTCAGGGGTCAAAATCCGTGGGAATCTGGTGTTAGCCAGCAGGGCTAACAGCTCTGAAAAGATGTTAGCTACCAAAAGCAGCCCGTATTTCTTTGTAGCCTCGTGTTCATATTCAGAAACCAATACCCAGAAAATGTTCTGTCAGCAGATCTCCTGGAACGCTGTGGTCGCTGTGCTGTAATATAATATTATTTAAAACGTTTTCAGCGCCTCTCAACCACATCATGCCTCCAACGATTTCATAGAAACTATGAGAAACTGCAGTATAACATGGAGGACGATGGATTTAAAATGAAAAGGTTTTGTTTTTTGTGTAGATTCCCTGTTTATGTTGCATGTATTTGATATAAAAACTTAATTCACGACCCAAACTAACCCAATCCAGCCCAAAAGGGACCCAAACTGGTCCAAAACTGACCCAAACTAACTCAAACACACCCAAACTGACTCAAATCAGTCCAAAATGGTCCAAAAAATAACATGGCGGGATGATGGATTTCAAATGAAAACTTTTTCTTTTTTTATGTGTTGATTCCCTTTTTATTTTGCATGTATTTGATATAAAAACTTCCTTTGCCAACCCGTCCTACCCCACGGAGCTGAGCACACAACCCAGACTAACCCAATCCAGCCCAAAACGGACCCAAATCAGTCCAAATCAGTCCAAAATCAGTCTATTAGAATGACGTGCTGTAAAAGGGAATTATCGGCATTTAATGCAACAAAAGGAACAGACAACTGGCTTTCTGAAAGGCTTCAGACTGAGCAGAGCTCCTGGAAGAGCAGGTCAGAAGGACGCTGGTGTTTTGTCTGAACGAAAGCTCCTTCTTTTTTTTTTTTTTACTTTTTTTTTTTTATTTCAGCTCCTCTGCTCTGTAAACGGTGGCTCCTCTGGGCTGAAACGACTTAGAGCCGGGCCACAGAGGGCCTGTCTCCACAGCCCGGAGCTCTGTTGCCACCAAACACGGGATGAGACCCTCAAACAAAACGTACACAAACAAAACAAAAGTGGGAAGCACTGCGAGGCCCGAGCCGCCCTGAACACAGCACAGAACAATCCAGTCAAACAGGATCCACATTTCTATAATTACAGACTCTGGCTAAATCATGCAAACAACACCTGCGGCTTGGGGACGAGCCCCTTTTTCACACCTTTTAATGGCTCAAAGCCAGCAGGTTCACCGGGTTTTTCTGGGGCTTTTCTGGTTTAGTTTAGACGGAGAACGACTCCCACTCCATGGCGACAGGTCACCGGGTCACATCTGCCCGGCGGCAGACGCACAAAACAGCAACACAAACAAACAAAAACAACCCAAAACGCTCCGGCCTTCGCTCTGCCCTTTGGCCTCTGCTGCTTTCTGAACAGCATAGCCAGCCAATTAAAAATAAACGATCCTAAACAGAACTAAACAATAACCAGACTACGACAGCCTGGAGGCGGGGCTTAAAATCCTGATTCATTCTCCAGGACGGTGAGTCCCGTTCACAGAGGTTGCTCTGCTTTCCCAAAGCTTTGACAAACCAGTGGGTTCTTTCCAGCTTTGCATCTGCAGCTCCTTGTTCATTGAGCTTCACTGGCTAACTCCAAATTCAGGTCCTACAAAGTGCTTAAGGGTCCGGCTCCCGTCTACTTGAACCCTCTTGCAAAGGCATTGCTTTGGATAAAAGCGTCTAAATGCAGACACATAAACATAAAAGCCCCA